AATCCCTTCCCTCTTGCGCACGGCGGTCCGTGTACGCTCGGCTCGAGACGATAGATAATAAACTGCTAGTGTTTCCACATACACTACAGTAACTATGATGATGGTAGGTAGAACGATGATGGTAGATTCGCCACATTTTCGGGTTTTCTTTTTTTTTATAGACGATAGTGGAATGACCTGCCTACGCTAACGCTTACGCTGGCGGGGCACTAGTGGAATACAATAAGATGTACCACAGTATCTTCATGTACATTTAATATAGTTTCTGATCGCTTTGTTTTTGTTAAATTAATTTTGTTTAATAATTTTCATGTTGAATAGTAATGCAAGTATTATGTAACTGTTAAAAACGACATAAAAAAACATTGTCCCTATTCACTATTTACAGAGACTTAGCGTCATCTTCGTAGGTCTTAATTAAAACCTCACTCATTTATATAAGCCGCTAAAGACATTGCTTTGTAAAATGTCTGCATGATGAGGTATATCGACAGGGAATTGATTCCCACACGCTGGAACCTAAGTGGTCTCGGACATTGCGGTTTCGGAGGAGCTTCCTCTTACACGGAGCGTACACTTAGATTGTGGTATGAACTACCTGCCGAGGTTTTCTCGAGAAACTACAGCATATGGCTTTCAAGAAGGGTATATAAAGGTTTCTTAAGGATCGGCAACGCGCACGGAACACCCCTGGTATTTCAAGTGTCCATAGGCTACGGTAACCATATACCATCAGATGGGCCGTATGCTTGTTTGCCACCATAGTAGTATAAAAAAAAGGGGTTGAAATTGTAGGATAGGAGGCATGATATCATATGGGTGCCACATGATAACGTGATGACCATAGTGCTGTGCTTGTCATGTATATATGCTACAGGTAACATTTACTTTCTTTATTGGTTTGTTTGGGCTATTGTCAGGTGCTTGGATCTGTAGGACTGCGACCTACATAGATCTATTGTGCTCGCCCTTTTCCAGAATTCGCTACCTAGACCCGTTAAGGACAAGAATTGAAGCATATTCTTAGGAGCGATGGTTTATATCCTCAGGATAGAGTGTAAATTTTCCAAAAAGATATTTCGTGTATGCATGAGTGGGCTACAACCACATAGGATGTGTAGTTGCGTTTCCTCTTCAGTTTGGCAGTCTGCTGATTTTTGTTGTGCCTAGGTTTGCCCTAACATTTACTTACTATAATCTAGTTTTGATTTCAATTAGTAAGGTTTTACAACAAAATACCGGAATCTGTTATAAATCTACCTGAAAAAATATTTAAATGTCATATAAAATACTTCCTTTGTAAAAAAAGCCTACTATAAAATTGAAGAATTCGTTAACGATAATAATGTTTTTATAGTAAAACTTAAAATCCATAGCGCTGACAATATTATCTGATTGCACTAATAACGAGTGCGTAGCGATTTCTATGATGATTATCGCATGCCCCTTACTTGTTATACTGTAATTATTTATATAAAAAAACGTCTATTCAAAAGAGCAACCCATAAGTTTCTTGCTCATTCTTCTTGTGATGAATTTGCATTCAGATTGAGTGGTAGAATCAATATATGAATGACTATTAAAAACGCTTGTAATGAGTTTTATTGAATAAAGATTATTTCTATTTCTATTACGTAAAAAAACTCCATTTTAATTCACTATGGTCGTTTATTGATATGTAATTCAATTATTACTTAATTTTAATTTAAAATCTAAATTAAAATAAGCTGAATAGTAATAACAATATAAACATCGTTTCGTTTTGTAAAAACACACAAATTACATTGTTTCGTATACAGTTAAAATAAATGTCACAGCCATTATAAATTTAATGAATAAATAAATAATTAATACTTATCTATATAATACTATGTATTTTGTTTTCTATTATTGTACATAAAAGTTCTAATGTCTGTATGTTCGTGTCTGATAAATACAATTGTTTGTGTGAAGAGTAATTAATTTAATTTCAATATATATATATCCTATAATAATATTTTATTTGAACACCCTAATGACAATAACATTGTACGTAATATAATATTTATATTATAACATGTTACGTTCAGTTTACGATATTTTTAAATAAATTTACAGCAAAATATATGGTTACATAATTAATATTAGGTACTTATATAAATCACTAATAACTATTTTATGCATTATCCAATAAAAATATAGATTTATTAACAGCATATTTAGAGAGTACACAATTGGATAGCCTCTTTGGGAAATCTAGACTAGAAATAAAACATTTAAACAAAATTACAAACAAATCACTATGAAATTGATTACAAATTTTGATTAATTTCAAAATTTAGGTCGTACTACGTACGTACTTAATGTCATTAGCTAATTAAATATATATAAAATTAATTTAATTTCATATTAAATAGTAGAGTAAAAATTAAGATAAATTACTAACATTTCAATAAATGCTCAGCTCTTGATTCAAACCAGAATTACTATTAAACTTTTTGGCAATTATATAGTATATATAAATTATATTTATAATAAAGAAAAGACCGGAAAAGTGGTGTCCCTGTATTGTAGATTTCTCTCTGTGCTAGTAACTGGCTACGAATTGGCACTAAATTTAATAATTTCATTATACATATAAATTATATCAATGTTATATTTTATTACAATATATATATAACGTATAACGTATTTTATTAAATTATATATATATATATATATATATGTAATATAATTTAACTACAATAGCAAGTACCTAATATAATGTCTAAATTGGCAAGATAAAGATTAAAACATTTAACGATGTTATTAGAAACGATATTTATTGTTATATTATCCTATAATACTTAAAATACGTGAGTTTGCATCCTTCCATATAAATATATACAAAAAACCCTCCTTTTTACTTCATCATCATCATCATCATCGCAGCCCGGAAGACGTTCACTGCCGGACATAAGCCTCCCCTAAAGATCACGACGATCGGTCCTGCGCTGCTCGCATCCAATGCCTTCCAGCGATCTTGACCAGATCGTCGGTCCACCTTACTCGAGGCCTTCCCACGTTGCGTCTTCCTTTTGTACTCCAGTAGTGGACAAATCAAATGATATTTTGAGCGTATTTTTTAAGTATTGTACAAATTAAACACAAGTATTATCTATATACTGCTATACAGAGTTACTGATAAATCATGTTTAAAACTTAAAAAACAGAGAACATGTGTACTAATTTACTGAAGAAACGATGATATTCACAGAAGTATAAAACTGTGTTGCGAATATCGACGCCCTCCACCGAGTTTATATAATTCCAAAGAAATACATGCTATTACCCATCACGTATTGTCTAATAAAATTTACAAAATATTTAATTTTACCAAAACAAAGAAAATTCACAAAAAACTCAAGGATTAATCAGAAAGATTAATACTAGAGTTGGAATGAATTAGGCGGATTATAACATCTGTAATTCTGTATATTAATAATACTAATAACTATATTTAGCGTCATGTCATATTTAATTTAATATAAAAATTATATAGACCATTTTCATGATTGAAACAATCAGCAAAGAATAATTTCCATACCGTTTTCATGTATCTTTATGATAAAACAAATATTCTTTGTACAAATATGTTCATCATATCTGATTTTAAAATGTAGTTCAACTATTTCATTGCGGAAATTCTTGAGTAGTAATGACATAACAATTTTACCTAAATTAATTAGAAGGCTGTATATCTTGATCTCTGTGCTTTATCAACATAGAATAAAATGATGAGGTGGTTTTTTTTAATTATGTTGGCTGTTCCATTTTGCACAGAGTAATTATCACTGCGTTTTATAAGAGTTGACACTGCCCTTATGAGAATTGAATCTATGTTTATACAAAAGTTTTTTGTATTTGTATTTTGTTTGTATCAATTGAGTGGTATTGCATATGCGAAAAGAACATTTAAAATAAATATTTGCAAACAATTGTTTGTAAAAAAGAATGTTACACCTATTCGTACAAAAAATATTTTGATCCTAGAAGTTGCAAGCTTGCTACTTTTTTTTGTTCTGGCTCCGGCAGCCTATTACTTTGGCACAATATTTCTTTTGGCGGTAAATCTATTATTAACCTCAAGGGTTTTACGATAGTGGCTAGACATTGCGTGACAAAATATTTAATAGTTCCGATTAGTTATCGGGCGCCTATATCGAAAAGCAATACATATAATCTGTTATAATAAAGAAGGATTATAGTTATTAAATAAAAGGTTTGACAGCAATCATCAAAAACAAAGTAAACTATTACATCCGGCAATAAAGGTGACAATTTAACAACATTTTTATCACAATATAATAATAATAACTATATTAAATGGTCATATATTAATCATATATTGCGTACATAATTATATGCAGTACTAAGCCTGAAATTGCATTGTATCGAATAAGCATATCTTTACATAGTATAAAACAAAATTGCCGCTATCTGTTCACTTATATCTTTGAAATTACGCAAAGGATTTTACTGCAGTTTCAACCATAGATAGAATAATTCAAGAGGAAGGTTTATATGTATAATAAAATTCAGAAGAGCCGAGAATTTTAAAGATTTGGAATGCGGTGCATTCCAAATCTTTAAAGTTGCCATTATACAAAATGGTAAATAAAAAATATAATATTGCCAACATATAATTGTTAAGAATTTTGGTATATAAATAAACAGATACGAGCAAAGTAACTAGTCAATAGCATAACAGAAAAGATATCCAATATCTATTTAACATTAGTAGTGAGTCACAAAAAGATAGAGTGACCATGGTTTAGTTCCATGTACCTCGTATGATAACGGTATCATCTGCATGTGCCGTGAACATGCTTACTGTTTCAAATAGAGTAATAAATTTTGATACAGGAGGCATATCTCATGCCTTAGAAGCAATGGTGGTTCCATTGCCTCTAAGGCATGAGATATGCCATAGACAAGAATAGCATTTCAGTTTTTGTTTATGGCTATAACCGTCCACATATGAATGTGGGTCGTTATAAGGGTTAAAGGCGGAAAAAGAGATGGATGGACTGTGTGAAAGATGATGTGGTAAGAAAGGGAGTAAATAATGAGATGACTGCAAACAGGGATGCAATAAAAAAACATTACGCCGATTCAAATAAACAAGGGATAAGGAAGAAGCAGATGACGTTTATGGTTCAAGGTATATAAAGAATTTCGTAACTGTAATCTTATGCTTTTGACTATATATATTTTGCGTTTTGTTTTATATTATGTACATAAATATATTTTATACAATATCGCACACTTGTCTTAAATATAAAGTAGATTTATATAAAGGCTTTATGGCACAATGGTATAACTTTGCCATGATCGAGTTTGTTAATTAAATAATATCACAAGGGAAGCAATAGTTTTACGAAATGGCTAATTTGCTGCATTCGACGAGGTTACTACCAAAGATCTTTTTCTTTATATTGTTAGCGTAGCAGAGGCCTTTTTTGATCTGCTGTGTAGTTTTAACGGCGATGCAGCGGAAGACAGTGATGAGAACACCCAAGAAGCTAGGCGAGAGGGCGTATGCACAAGAACGAACTGAGCTGTAAACGATGCGATTCGAACGCTGCAGACTACGGTAATTATCAATACCGCCCACGTTGACTCTGCTGAATTCTTTGTACTGTAGAAGAATTGTATAGGTTGCAATTTTTGTAGATGATGATGGAATGGTGCACCCGCCTGCGTTAACGGTTTACGCTGGCGCGGCACCAGTTGAGGTTGATAAATAAATACACGCATGACGACCTCGGTGGTTTAGCGGGTCTGTACACCGCTTTACTTCCGATGGTCGCGAGTTCGATTCCTCGCACGGTGCGAACATTTGTATTTATGAGTTTGACTGTTTATATTGGTGGGTGTTTTCTGTGTTTACAAAAAAAAATCTCTATATCAGTAGCAAATAATCTAGTACTCGTAATATAATAATACAATACATTGTCCAGGTTTACTTATAAAGAGTTTCGGCTGTCAATAGTTATCTACCATTATCTTATATATAAAATTCTCGTGTCACAGTTTTCGTTCCCTCCTCACTTCTCACTCCTCCGAAACGGCTTGACCGATTCTCATTAAATTTTGTGAGCGTATTGAGTAGGTCTGAGAATCGGCCAAAATCTATTTGTCATCCCCCTAAATGTTAGGGGTAGTCCACCACAAAATTTTTTTTTTATTTTAAGGCAAAACAACGTTTGCCGGGTCAGTTAGTATAATATACAGTAAATTAAAAAATAGATAAATAACTCACCTGTACATCAGATATAGTGAGCGGTACGTCCATCACAATCCAAGTGACCACTTCTTGGCAATATGGAGTTGTTAAAGAGCCGTGGTACGTGTAAAACAATTGAGGCTCAGGACTGAACAGCCGGCTATTGAAACAATACAAATATATTAGACAGATTATTAACTGCGCCTACGATTTCAACTGCATTGCAACTGTTTCAAACCTGAAGAGCTTGTTTGTTTGAACGCGCTAATCTCTGGAACTAGTGGTTCGAATTGAAAAATTATGTTTGTGTTAATACATATAATTAGTAAAGTTTGCCGAGATGAATATCGAGCGAGTTCCAGTAGTAGCAACAAACGAAGACGTGTGAAGGTAGACGCATATGTCTGCCCATAAAAAAAATAGGTTAATTTTCCATCTACCCGCTGCTCTTCAGTTTACCCGTGATCACGGTGGTTAAAACATTACCGAAATATCGGGAACTCAGCAAATAAATATAAAACGTGGTAAGATTCCGTGATTTTTACTAATTATACGTATAAATAATGACCGCGTCAAGTTTAAAACAGTATATTTTTGTATTGTATAGTCCATTTGGCGAGATCTTCCGCCCATTCATCGATCTGGCATGTGTTATTCTGATGTATAAGCTATATTACTGTAAAGTTTCATAAAAATTCGTCCTACTGGACGAATTTTTATGAAACTTTTTTTGCGTGAAAGAGTAACAAACATCCGTCCATACTCACAATTTTTCGCGTTTATAATATTTATATAAGATTATGATTGATATTAGCTTATATCTTCGTCTGCATCACACTTATTTGACATTTATCATTATATTTCACCTATTTTACGTATTACTTTAAATTATAGCCTGCTAGCTACTCGCCCCGGCTTCGCCCGGGTGTACATGTATTATACATATAAACCCTCCTCTTGAATCACTCTATCTATTAAAAAAACCGCTTCAAAATCCGTTGCGTAGTTTTAAAGATTTAAGCATACATAGCGACAGCGACTTTATTTTATACTATGTACTGATGTGTTATTCTAATGTATAAGCTATATTACTGTAAAGTTTCATTAAAATTCGTTCAGTAGTTTTTGCGAAAAAGTAAGAAACATCCATCCATCCATTTATCTATCCATACTCATAAACTTTCGCCTTCAAAATATTAGTAAGGTAATAAAAAATTACAAAACTACCATTAACATGAACGAAGCTGTAGTTAAAAGTAATTTAAACTATAAAAGTGTGATCGTATCGAATAATAGGAAGTACTATATTTCTTCGTACTGTAAATCTATTGAAAATTCGTAATGGTATTGTTATTTTGTCGTAGTATAACTTTAAGGGTCCCCAAATTTATCACGCTCTTTGTTGTGTAGCATGAACTCTTGATAACTGTTGGCATTGATTGATGTTGATGTCAAGGACAAGACCCGCTCTTGGAAGATGTTCGCACCCCTTCATTAACGAGTTTGAGAAATTGAGATTCATCGTAACAAGGTTTTGAAGCTATCGACTCGAATTTAGAGATAATATTCGACGAATATTATTAATTAAAATTTTAGTCGTTAATAGCGAAAAGGTTAGACGACCGAAGAGCTGGCAGCTACCTTGGACAAAGAATTAGTCTAGATATTCAAAGGGGGAACGCTGCCAGTACTGATTTAGTGATTTTGTGTATTTTTTATACATAATTAAAAAAAAATATTAACAACTTCTCTATATAAACTATAAGTGTGTGAAATTTCATACTCCGTTCGAGCAGTTTTCATAAAAAGGGGTATAGTTTTTGCTTCACGTATTAATACCATGATTCTGTCACAATTTAGTGTTTAAAACTTTTGAGTTTAAATTTAATAGCAAATAAAAAAAAAAAGTAAATCAATTGAGTTTCTTGCCAGCTTCTCAATTGGATCTATATACCGAACTGGGCGGTAGGGAAAAAAATTAATATGTGATGTAAAAAATTAGACGTCCATAAGCGGCTAAAATGTCCTACATAAATAAATTATTTTTGAATTTGAATTTGAATTATTTATTTGGAACAACATTAGTACAGCATATAATATTATTAAAGACTTTCTAGATCATAAATATTTGATAATTAGTAGGGTTTTCATATATTTTCATTGGAACTTAAAGAACTTAAGATAAAACCATACAATAGGATTTATCGTTTATTGGAAAGCATCCCGGATATTGCCATGTATGATGGAAAATTTTGCTTAGATTCGAGACAATAGATAAATTAATAAGATAATTTATCATTTATCACGTTGGTTTATGAAATAATTAACAACTAATCTCAGATGTAATATGATATCTATATAATAATGTTGTGTCATGTAGGTTTAGCTTTTCATAAAGGATGTAAAAGCGTCTAGTATTGATATTGTGTTTCTTTTGTAATTGTTGCAATGTTTTGAGCTTTTTTTGTTTGTTTAATGTGTGTTATAGTTTTTTTATTATTTACCGAATAAATATCATTTAATTTCATTTTGTTTGTGCTATTGTCAGGTGTTAGGATCTATAGCACTGCGATCTACATAGATCTACTGTGCTCGACTTTTTCATAGTTCGCTACCTGGAGAAGAATTGAAGGATATTCTTAGGAGCTATGGTTTTTGTCTCTTCAGGATAGTGTAAACTTTTCAAAGGAGATATATCGTTTATGCATGATTGGGCTACAACCACATAGGATGTGTAGTGACGTTGCGTCTTCATTTTGGCAAAATCTGGAGATTATTGTTGTGTATAGACAATTGTGTGTTGGGAACTAATGTCTACCTTGTATTGGCTTTTGTGGCACAGGTTTACCTATATTAAAAACCAGGGCAAAATTTAATAAATGTACTTTTTTAATTTTTTTAATTTTTGATTTCTTTTTATATAGCATTTGCTGGTGGTCACTCTATTCTCCCAAATTTGAATTTAAATGAAATAGTATTATTGTAACGTATGTATACGTACAACATTTGAAAAAAAAATACGAGCTGAGTTTCTTGTCAGTTCTTCTCATCTCGAAATCATTCCAAACAACTGACGGTAGATTTGACATATCATAAGAGTCTGTAATAGACCTACATGAATAAAGATATTTTGAATTTGAAATTTGAATTTATACTGATATATTTATAGACAAAGAATTGTTATTATTATTGTTGCTAGCAATGTACAATGTCTTTGTTGGTAACCCTAGTTGACGTTTATACTAAGCTACTTTGATAAATTTATTATGACTGAGCGGATTCATTTTACTCTTATTCATCAACTTCCACTGGTGATCATCTGGCAAATATCTTTAGCAGAATCTCATCATCCATTATACATAGCGTAGCTTACGCTCAGATATGGTTATAGGTTATTTTTAATAGCCACTATTACATTTTTTGCATTGTCTTCATTACATAGTATTATATAAAACAAAATCGCTGTCGCTGTCTGTCCGTCCCTATGTATGCTTAAATCTTTAAAACTACGCAACTGATTATGAAGCGGTTTTTTTAATAGAGCGATTCAAGAGGAAGGTTTATGTGTATAATGCATGTACACCCAGGCGAAGCCGGGGCGAGTAGCTAGTTTTCTATAAAACATTACCCTTTTTCATTTTTAGTCATAGGTTTAAGACCTTTGTTTTAAGATCTATGTGTGGAGCTCTGTTTCACCTATTTCAGTCACCAACCTGCTTGATTATAGTATTTCGGTTATACGAAATACTACAATATTTCGGTTAAACGGCGACACATGGTAAATAACAGAGTATGAAAACTGAACATCTTAGTGCTTTGATATAGTAATGCATAGTTATCATTATCACACATGAAATTGTATATACTGCTACCATTTACCGTCAGGTTGGCCGTCAGTATTACCATTCCAGCTATATAAAACAATTTACAAAGCTCATAAATCAATCACTTAAATTGATACTTTATTTTTTTTTATACATACATCTATTGTGCTCGCCCTTTTTCAAAGTTCGCTACCTAGACCCGTCAGGGACAAGAATTGAAGAATATTCTTAGGAGCGATAGTTTTTATCTCCTAAAGAAAGAAAAGAGGGAAAGAGTGTAAAAATAAAGTGTAATTGATACTTACGTGATGTCAATATGCTTTACGGTTGTGTCACCCTCCTCTGTCTCATTGAGAAGACCAGGGATTACCGGCATTAGTTCTTCTAGAGCATAGGAGCTATCTTCTTCGTATCCACCAACGACCTGATTGAAGAACAGTATATATGTTAATACGTTAAGCAAAAACTTTGTACCCCTTTTTACGAAAATTACCCGGACGAAGGAGTATGAAATTACATATGATTTTTTTTTATGTATAATTTGTTTGCAATATATGTTTATATAAAGAAGTATAATATATATTTTTATTTATGCTCAAAATATACATTAATACCATAAAAAAAACATTGCCTATATTTACTACCATGTATTTGACACACACACATATACCTACTCTTCAATAGAATCTTAATAATGTTTAATAATCTAAGAAAAATTTGATTTAAGCCATGATGTGACCAGGTTTGGCGCAATATATACAACTAAGTCCACAAATACATGAATAATAATATAATATTGAGAAACAAATTTTGATTTATTCTGACGGAAAAGGGATGAAAAAATTAAAAAAAGGGCTGAAAAACGCCTTTTTTTTTTCAAAATAACTCGATAACGATAACAAAATATTTCAAATTTTTATTTAAAAAATTCTACACAAAAAAGGTGCTCTTCATTTTTTCCTTTTGTCAACACGGGCGTTCAGTCTAAACCTGATAATGTGAGCCCAGGTTAAGTAATCTTAAATCGTTAAATTTACAACGTAAAGGGTCGTAATTGATACCTTTGTTAGTATTCCAATAACGGCCAGCCCATCCGGTCGTTCCAGGGCTTCGTCGACGGTCAGCCCCGTCTTTACGTGCACCAAATGGATCTCTAACGGATACCTTAAAAAAAAGAACAATATTTAATATATTTTTAATAATAACCAAGAGCTTGAGCATCGTAAACATATATAAAATATTATATTATTATAACTAGCTATAACTGCTGCTGTGTCCGCAACTTTATCTGTGTGGGAAACGGTAAAATATTTATAAACTTTGAATGACATAGAATAGAAAATCATTTATTCAAATAAACTTAATTTAAGCACTTTTAGAATAGTCAACAATTTTTTTTTTAATCTGCCGCTTATTCGGAAAGCTGTCTCATCACAAGAAGAATAAGCTAGAAACTTGTGTGTTGCTCTTTTAAACAATCCTTGTAAGTTCACATTTTACAAGTCGAAACGTGTGAATACAAACTACCCACCAGCACTAATTTCAAATATACAATAAGTTAAAATCAGTGGTAGTGATAAGAGCAGACCAGTTCCTACAAGCACCATATATGTCTAGCTTTAAAAATGACGATACTTTCATACATAGAGATATAACCTTTCATCTGCACTTTCAACTTCTTACAACCCTTTTTTGGCATAAAAAGTATCCTATGTGATTTCTGAGGGTCTACACTATCTATGTATCATTAAATTGGTTCAGTAGTTTTGGCGTGAAAGCGCGATAGACAGACAGAGTTACTTTCACTTTTTTAATATTATAGTGAGGATGGACTACTGAAATACCTAAACAAAATAAGAAATGCAATTAAAATATTTCTTATTTATGCAGGTATGTGTAGAAATCTAAAGACAAAATCGTTTTGGCATTTCGAAGAAATAAGGAAAACATAATTGTCCTTCAATCTAGATCAGACATACAAATCTTTTATAAGGAAATATTGGTAATACTTAATCAATTGATAAATTATAAACATAATTATTTATAAGAGACATGTATTATAAAAGATTAAATAATAATTATGTATTAACTAGATAATATATCTTCAATCCGGTAATCCCAGATAGGGTAATCAGTTCAGTAATAGTTCATCTGAAGGCAACAGCCTATACAGAATAACAGCGCCTGGAGAGTATATTTTAGAAATAGGTCTTTTATGGGAATAGGTATAAAAACATACAATAAGATACCAAAGGATGTACTGGAATTACCCTTAAATAAATTCTAAACATCAGGTAATCATATTTATTGAGCAAAGCCTAAATCACTAAACGATTACTTGAATGACGAGCGTGCATGGCAATAGTTGTTGCACAGACTTCAATTTTTAATAATAAAACACTGGGCTATATCTTTTAAAGCCAATTCTAAAACAGTGTATGTATTTAAAAATCGTCCTTTTTTTCGGACTACTTTAATGCTATTGGCCGCAGCTGGCCTTTACAGCTTCACCGGACGATAGGGCGCGAATGCAGATGGCACAACAAACCCGCGGAAGGACTTATGGAGCGTCTGAAGGCCAACTCCCGCCTTTTAGTCTGAGGGCACCGCTAGGGGTTCGAACCTCGGCTCAAACCGTCGTAATATCGATCCCCGTTTGAATTGGACGGGGGATCGATCGGAGGGGTACGAACAGACACCTAGGGTGTTTTTGTTTGTGAAGAAAACTCAAAGCTCAAAATCCTTCATATATAGATTAGACATAGGATCTTTTGTCCCTTCATTAAGTAATTTTTTTATCACTATTCCCATCATCCTCTTCAACTAGCTACTTCAGTTCAGTTGTAAATTGAAACTGGCAACGCTGTTTTTTAACTAGTATACCTACACGCTATTATTCATTATGGACAGTTCTATTTTACGATAAATTATATCTTTGGGGATTAAATTATGTTTAGGTATAGATAATTTTTTTTTTTTTGCAGATATTTATAATTATAGTTGTGTCAAGTCACAGCCACAGCAATATTAATTTATCTATTATTACACCCGTATCAAGTATTTGTCGTAATGATTATGTGCAATATATTTATTATAAAGGTCAGTAAATGATATCAAGGCCATATATATATTGCACTACCTTTAATCTTTATGTACATGTAGGTATTTAAAAAAATGTATATATGTATTCATATCAGTTATAAAAGTTGTCTAATCGATACGATATTGAAATCTTCAAGAAAATATCTCATTCCTTTTTAAAAGACCTGTAAAGCATTTGCAATTCCCTTGGTGTAGCCGTAGCTGGGCGGCGGTAATCACTTACTATAAGGTCAGTCGCAAGCGTTTGTCCTCTATGCTAAAAAAATCGATATCCATCTACTTCAAACGGGGATCGAAATTACGACGAGGTTCGAAAGGTGTGACGTATACGACTTTAGACTGAGACTAGGCAGGAATTGGCCTCCAAGCGCTCCATAAGTCTTTACTCGGGTTTGGAGTGCCTGCACTCGCTTCCTATCGTTGAAGCTGTAAACATTAGCTGCGTCCAACAGTATTAGAGTAGTTCGAAAAAAGTCCATAATAATATAATAATAATATCTCATGACAAATCACACAGCGCCATCTAGTCCCGAGCTAAGCATGGGCTGTGTTATGGGTACTAGACAACTGATATAAATACATGGATACATTTTTTTGTAAATAAATACATATTATACATAGAATACACCCAGACCGATACAAACAATCATACTCATGAATACAAATGTTTGTACCGTGCGAGGAATCGAACCCACGACCATCGGATAGTAAAGCGGTGTGCTACACCACTAGACCACCGATACTGTCATAATAGAAGAACAGGGGTTGTATGAATTGTCCAGACTTATTATAATGTGTAATTATAGATCTTATCGAGTTTAATTGCTTTTTAGATATAAAATGTAGGCAACGTACGTCTTTGTAATACATTGTCCCCTTATCGTCAGTAATGCGCTGCCTTTCCGGAGGATGGCTTCCTTAGATGCCATCATACTTACCCTTGTGTAGTCTCACCCTTCTTACAAAATAAACCGGTCTCAATCAAGCTGAGATACATATGTAGATAAGACTTTTTATTTGTATCTAAGTGAGACAGAGATACACTAAAGATTTATATATGTTCATCATCGCATGCCTCTTACTAGTCATTGTGTAATTATTTATATAAAGAAACATCTATTCAAAAGAGTAATACACAAATTTCTTGTGATGAATCTGCGTTCCGAATGAGTGGTAGAATAAAAAATATGACTATTCGAAAGTGCTTGTACTGAGTTTATTTGAATAAAGATTATTTCTATTTCTTCGACAGTCTAACTAAGTAATAATTAATAACTTCAATAGGTAAGCTTTGATGATCGTTACAATAGAATTACATTTGACCTTTGTTATCAAACTTCAGCAATATGTTGAGAATATTGTACAATAATGTAACATAATTGTAAATGAATTAATTACTATTATTTGATCAGTATCAATAAATGCATCGAAGTGATACGAAGGTCCATGACTTGTATTATGTATCTAGGTTCAATTAACCTACATATGTGAAAGATATGGGACATAGATTTGAATATTTCGTGGAATGTCTCAATAGATATGAAACCTATATTTCTATAATTTTTATAATGCATTTGCTAATTTCAAGGCCAAATATAAATTACTGTACCGGTAATCTTCATATGAATTTTAAATATTATGAATAAAGTCTATTACTGTAAAGCCTACAAAGTCTACTCATTAAACGATTACTTGAATGGTGAGTGTGTGGCAGTAGTTGTTCATGCGCGGGATTTTCATTTAATGTTAAAAAAATAATAATAAGTAATTCAATTGAGTTTCTTGCCAGTTCTTCTCAATTGGATCAAATGGACTTCTCAAATGGATAATATATGTTAGAAATAAAAAAATAAGGTACTAACTTCATTCCGTCGATGGCATGTTCAGAGAGCCAGTGTAAGTGGAATTGCAGCAGGCTGTAGTTGCCCCTCAGAGGACCTCCTGACAACACGGGAGCTGGCCAGTCCTCTTCCACGTTCCATTTCACTATTCACAAATATATACGAGATATTTATTTATTCTTTTACTAACTACTCGCCCCGGCTTCGCACGGGTGTACACTTATTATATATATATAAACCTTCCTCTTGAATCACTCTATCTATTTAAAAATCTGTTGCGTAGTTTTAAAGATTTAAGCATACATATACAATGTAATAATTACACTTAAAAAAGACAGGCGAGCTATATGGCATTCTCTACCAGCTAAACAGTAGGTAAGAACAGAAAGTGGTTGATGGGCAGTGGTGGGAAAGGACAACCTACAATTTTAGCTAACATACAGAGGTAAATAGGTCTTCAAATATACTTGCAAATAAACATACATAAAAATAAATATATATTTATATATGTCTCAATGTAAAACAACGTTTGCTGGGTCAGCTAGTACGTAAATTTGTAAAACATGACTTACATGTATGTCCATTATTGATGGGTGCGACTGCTACATTTCCGTATCCTCTCATGACCAGAGGCCCTCTGATGTGTGACTCGTGGATGTCCTCCACTGCGTCTCTAGTCATGATGTTGATTGGTGATTGTTGGAAGCCGGTATTGCAAACGCCCGGCCACTGCGTTTCATCTGAAACATTTAGTATTAAAGTCTCTGCAGACTAGCGACTTTTTGTATCCGCAATCGGCAGTTCAGCAACTGAGCAGTCCCTATTGCTACTTGCACTTTTGAAAACAGAAGTGTCTAAATTAGTGTTTTCCACCAACACAGTGGCAACTTAACTATTAAGGGGGCAATTAGAAAATGGACTCTACACGAGTTTAATCCTTCTGCAATTTAAATGCAATGCTAGATTTCAGTGTGACATTTAATGAACAATTAAATTCCTTAATAATTATTTTATCACTAAATTAAAATAATAAATTAATATAGTCAAAAGATTGTTCAAACGTCGAAACACTTTTTTAACTAACTGTAGACGTTTGCTCAAATTTTGAACAAATTCCATAGCTAAAAGGAAAGTTTAATCATATTTGAACTCATACAAATATTTATTCAAACTTTGAACACTTTATTCGAAGTTCAAATGCGAGTTTGCTGCTGCGAGGAAGCCATTAGTGTTATCTTTGGAACAAAGCCTTTGTCTGCTTAAAAATAAATAGAGACGGAGTGGAAAGCGTTGCGTCATATTACGTCTTGAGTGATCCGATTATATGACGGATGTGACGCTACAATTTAATGACATAGTGTTTATTAAAAGATAAGTGTAATAAACTATTGATGATGGTGGAGGGGATTGTTAGTATTGGGGAAATGTGGGCCACATACAATACAGACAATACTAGACATCAGTGCTAGTGATGCCATGTCGACACTTGATGCTGAAGATGCCTCGTTTAAAGGCGTAATACTGGTGTAGATTCAATAAATAATGACTGTAAGGAAGATTCTACTGGGAAATGTGGTCCCATTGCTAGTGATGCCATGTCGACACTTGATGCTGAAGATGCCTCGTTTAAATAACATAATATCTCTATCAATAACCTGATAGAGATATTCAGTGGATTACGTATACAGTTGTAAATATAATTTATTATAATAGGTCCAACAGAAATCGTTAGTTTTTTAACAGATTTAATTTTGGATATGTTTTTTGCTAGTAGTTCTATTGTTTACTCTTCTGTATATTGTTTTATATTATGTATGTTATTTAAATGTAGAGATGTAGAATGTCTTAAATGTAATGGATTAAGGGACCGTATTAGGCACATTGATTGAAGTAGAAAAAGTATAATCCATCACATTTAAAATAAGTATTGTTGCTAAGTAACAGTTTGTATGTAACGTGCAACTGCAATCGGAACGAAATAAATTATATTTACAACTGTATACGTAATCCACTGAATATGTCTATCAAAGATGCCTCGTCTAAAGGCGTAATACTGGTGCAGATTCAATAAATAATGACTGTAAGGAAGATTCTACTGGGAAATGTGGTCCCATTGCTAGTGATGCCATGTAGCCACTTGATGCTGAAGATGCCTCGTCTAAAGGCGAAATACTGGTGCAGATTAAATAAATAATGACTGTAAGGAAGATTCTACTGGGAAATGTGGTCCCATTGCTAGTGATGCCATGTCGACACTTGATGCTGAAGATGCCTCGTTTAAAGGCGAAATACTGGTGCAGATTAAATAAATAATGACTGTAAGGAAGATTCTACTGGGAACTGTGGCCCCATTGCTAGTGATGCCATGTAGCCACTTGATGCTGAAGATGCCTCGTCTAAAGGCGAAATACTGGTGCAGATTAAATAAATAATGACTGTAAGGAAGATTCTACTGGGAAATGTGGTCCCATTGCTAGTGATGCCATGTCGACACTTGATGCTGAAGATGCCTCGTTTAAAGGCGTAATACTGGTGTAGATTCAATAAATAATGACTGTAAGGAAGATTCTACTGGGAAATGTGGTTCCATTGCTAGTAATCCCATGTAGCCACTTGATGCTGAAGATGCCTCGTTTAAAGGCGTAATACTGGTATAGATTCAATAAATAATGACTGTAAGGAAGATTCTACTGGGAAATGTGGTTCCATTGCTAGTAATCCCATGTAGCCACTTGATGCTGAAGATGCCTCGTTTAAAGGCGTAATACTGGTGTAGATTCAATAAATAATGACTGTAAGGAAGATTCTACTGGGAAATGTGGTCCCATTGCTAGTGATGCCATGTCGACAATTGACGCTGATGATGCCTCGTCTAAAGGCGTAATACTGGTGCAGATTCAATAAATAATGACTGTAAGGAAGATTCTACTGGGAAATGTGGCCCCATTGCTAGTGATGCCATGTCGACACTTGATGCTGAAGATGCCTCGTTTGAAGGCGTAATACGGGTGCAGAGTCAATTAATAATAGCTGTAAAATTCTACCAGTCATGGTCAGTCATTCAGAAACAACTTATGTTTAAAATGAAGAGGACAGAAAGAGAGAAGAGTTTCTGCATTTTAAATGATGATTGAAGAAATTGTAATTTTCATTGTGTACTATTATGAAATGTTATTTAAGCTCTGCTATTGTCGAAGTTAAAAGGGAATATTTTAATCTATTCGGGTTTATATTTGAAAGTTATTATACAATGAAATTATAAATGTATAATACATATAAATTACTTACAACTGTATGACCAATTCAGTTGATAGCTCAATCCTGAAACAAAACAAAATTATGTTATTAATTATTTTCTACATGACACAAACTACGTCTACCAAATCAAATCAAATCGTATCAAATCAAAAATCTTTTATTTATGAATAATCATTCATTCATTCACATTTCAGCCGCTTATGAATTTGATTTTTTTTGTATAAAGATTATCCCTACAGTCCGTATCATAGACATATACGAGTACATTTTATATGCCTTAGTATACCAAGCCGCATGGCCAGCACAGTAATAATAGACATTCTTTCCTCATATGTAGTGACGTGCGCCATTCTTATGATGAAGCCGAATACTCATCTTAATGATACGTGTAACGTGACTTACTCGTAGTTAAAAATTTTATTTTATTAATATTATAAATGCTAAGGATTGTCAGTATGTATGGATAGATAGGCGATCCCATCTATGCTCATAATGGATGTTTGTTACTCTTTCACGCAAAAACTACTGAACAGATTGGATTTTGGTGAAACTTTACAGAAATATTGCTCATACATCAGAATACCTGGCTATAAATTTCAAGGTGCAACCGCGGACATGGTGCAACGCGCTAGTATTATAATTATCTCTTAATAATATTATAAACGCGAAAGTTTGTGAGTATGGATAGATGTTTGTTACTCTTTCACGTAAAAACTACTGAAAGGATTTTCATGAAACTTTACAGTAATATAGAATCACATATAGGCTAAAATTTTAAAAGATCTCGCCAAATAGACTAACGAAAACAAAAAAAAATCAATTCGAACCACTAGTTCCAGAGATTAGAGCGATCAAATAAACAAACTCTTCAGCTTTATAATATTAGGATAGATATCAACGAAACCATTCGTTGTCGAACAAAGAAGGCAACCGGATCGGCTAGGTCATTGAATACACGCTTTGTAATACTATAATGGTACATTTAAACAACCCACTAACAATGTCAAGTCATGGTAAGGCCGCCGGGACTAATAAAAATTATCTTTAACGAGTGATACAGAAGCCTGTTTTATGTAAATATGAATAATTTGGAGTAATTAACACAGGCATAAATTAGGATTAGAAAGTAAAATCTATTGTTATAAAGTTTTATTTACAGCAATAAAGTTTTAAGAATAAAAGAAAACAATTGCGCGATGTTTGTTTTGGTGAATACTGTGTTTTATTACAGTATTTAGGTATTATTATAATGTATATATATTCCATCAAAGTGTAATGAACTAAACCAATTCGTAGACTTTGTTAAGAGCTCCGCTCCGACCGATCCCGTCTCTATTCAACCGGAACCGAATTACAACAGCATGAGTCCCTATAAACACTGAAAAAAGCCCTCCCATTGAAAAAGATATTTAGTTTAAATATAATTTGAACGGCCTCGGTGGTCTACAACAGCATGAGTCCCTATAAACACTGAAAAAAGCCCTCCCATAAACGGCCTCGGTGGTCTAGCAGTTTAGCACACTGTTTTACTTCCGATGGTTGCGAGTTCGTTTCCACGCACGGTGCAAACTTATGTATTTATAAGTATGATTGTTTGCAACAATCTGGGTGATTCGCTATGTACATTATGTATCTATTTTTAAAAAAAGTATTTATATCAGTTATATAGTACTCATAATACAAGCTCTGCTTTCCGTGGGAGTAGGAGGTGTTGTGTTAGTTGTCCAGGGTTATTTATTATTTATTTGTTACTAGTTACTCACCCCGGCTTCGCACTAGTGTACATGTATTATATATATAAACCTTCCTCTAGAATCACTCTATCTATTAAAATAAACCGCTTCAAAATCCGTTGCGTGGTATTAAAGATTTAAGCATACATAAGGATGGACAGACAGCGACAGCGACTTTGTTTTATAATATGTAGTGATGATGATAATATTCATGTTTCCAACTTTTAATCACAATTTAAACAGTGAAAGTAGGGCTCAGGAAATTGATTTAAATGTGGACGCGGATATCAGTAATTTATATAGAATTGGATTACAATTGGATCTCGTTGGAATTGGTTTGAGAATAATGTGTACGTATTTAACTACAAATTAAACTGGCAACATTGAATTATGTCATGTTATAGTTGAATGCACACATGTAGTTCATTGATATTTTATTCATACACATGAATACAAACGTTTGTATTCATGTGTATCAAGGAATCGAACCCGCGACCATCGGAAATATACAAATACACTACCCTGGACATTTAACACAACGCCATCTAGTCCTATGGTAAGCAGAGCTTGTGTTCCGAGTACGAGACACCTGATATTTACTTAGATTTTTTGGAAATATATAGTTATATCATATGAATATTATAGAAAACAGCTAGATAAATACAAACATTTCATAATTATGAATACTAATGTTTGTACCGTGCGAGGAATCGAACCCGCAACCATCGGAAATAAAGCAATGT